TTGAATACATTTACTCATTTACTTTTCTTCTCCTGAGGTGTCCTGATATAAAAACAACTAATGTAGAAGATGAAACACAATAAGGTAAACTCTTTTAATGATGTATACAGTCTAAATCTTACCATGATCACCTAAGATAAGTAAGAAGTGATTCCAACTGTGTGTATGTTTCCATGTGGGTAGAAACTTCTGGGTGTTAACTTTGTTAAGAGAGTTTAGTCAATGAGAAATGGAGATGTGAATTTGTGCGGCTGCTTCACTGCACAAATCTCCCACAACAGGTGGGTGTGGGTGTCAGAGTGAGACTGGCACAGTTTGAAGCAATCTGATCCTGAGAAATGCCGCACTATAAATATATTCTGCTCAACTGCTTCTCTTGCCTTGCAACTGTCAGGCCTTAACCTCTGACCCCCCAACACTTGTCTCCCCCCCCCCGATATTGACCCCCCCAACTCATTCATGTGCTCTTCTTCTTCTAACATGTACTGTGAACTAGGACTCTACACTCAACTACATGTAGGGACGGGTGAACAGAAAAAGATCTGGCAAATGTTGGCACCAGGATGCATTTGACTGTAAATTGAGATGTGAAGTAAAGCCATGAAGTCATTTGTTAGCCACGTGTTACAGCTGCCCTGAGCTCTGATGGATGGATTTGAACTCTAATTACAAATGCTGATTATATCAATTAACTCTCTCAGAATGCTTGACCCTGCTTTTCATTTGCTACAAAAGATATCATATATTTTAACGATAAAGTAAGCCATTCTTCTTTACCTCTTCTATGAGAGATATTTGCTACAGAATCACATGTGCTTTTTGACACTATTAAACTTTAGGACAGTAATAACTTTATATATATGCACATAACTTTGTTTATGCACAACTTTTTGCATGTGTTCTTTCAAATAAGCAAATTACAGCAGTTGTGATTGTTAAAGATGACTCATCTCATCAAGCATTGCACTTTTAAAACACTGTTTGACTCATGAACAGTTTAAAAACAACAACAACAACAAATGTAGAACCAGAGTTATCATCCTTTTTACTCCATTCTTCTTCCATATAAAAACCTGGTGCCTACATTGACCACTGCAATCGACCATTGTATGTTCATGTGTGTTATGCTTTTAGTGGCTAATGTAGCCTCGAGGGAATAGCTTTCGGTGGATAAGAGAGGCCACAGAAGACTAATGAGATCACTTCTTTCCAACTTCAAACCAGAAGATTTCCTTTTTTTATTTAAAACGTTTAAAACGTTAAGTCTGAAGACTCAATCAATGCTGAGTCAAGAGACATCTCCAAACGAGATTAATGGGGGCGGCATGTGGTGGGTTGTGAGTTGGTGTTCGGATCAGGGGGGCACAGGTTCAAACCCCACTGCAGTCAGCATGTCGTTGTGTCCCTGGGCAAGACACTTCACCCCAAAATTGCTCCTGTAGGGATTGTCCACAGTATTGAGTATGTAAGTCCACAGTATTGAGTATGTAAGTCACTTTGGATAAAAAGCGTCTAACAAGTAACAAGTAACATGTAATGTAATGGAATAGTTCATTTCAAACATTTTATACCATTTTAATCTATTTATTTCACCCTTATAGTAACAAGCAACCCCAAAAGCAAATCAAAGATGTAGAGATATTGAGAATAGGCTAGAACAGGGGTGTCAAACTCAAATACACAAAACAATTGGTACTAGTCGAGGGCCGGACTGGTTCAATGTTTATTGCAAAACGTATTGAAATGAACTTATTGCACATATTAAACCTGGAACTAACAAAGCTTAAATGATTGCCTATAAAAACAACATTAAATAATCAGTTGCATTAATTTCTCATGGCTCTATCTTTTCCGGAGTAATTTCTTATGATTACATTTTTCCACAGGCCAACAACAGCTTCAAAAAAACAATTTCCCTCAAAGAAAAACCAAACATGCCCTGTTGTCGCAAGAAAAAAAGTGCAAAAGGAAACTTTTGCAAACTCAGTTTGCTGCTGTGATGCTAGTTCAAGCCAGATACTTGGCATCTCATCTTGGGTGCAAGTTCATCAATGTTTGGGCTCAGGCTCTGAGCTGAGGAGACCCTCACGATGGAGTGAAGGTGTGCGTGCAATATACCGGCGGGCCAGATCTAATAGTAATTAGAAATGATCCTGCGGGCCCAAATTAAATCCACCAAGGGCCTGATTTGGCCCCCGGGCCTTGAGTTTGACACACGTGGGCTAGAACCATATACTGTTTGAAGAAGAAAAAACAGATAGTATCCAATAACCTTCTCAAAAGAGCTCATATATAGATTTTCTTCCCTGAAAGCAACTTGAGCAACATTTTTGAGGAAATTGTGTGCGATATTGTAATAATTTGGTTACAAAGCGCACATGAAATATGTTGTTCAAGATGTTTCTGGAAGATTTGATGGACATCTTGGTTCTGAGTTTGAGATGTATTTGGTGTTCCCGCCGACAATGACTGAACGTTCATGCCACAGTGAACTTTTTCTTTATTGTGAGGTTAGTTATTTTAAAGCTACACAAACCTAAGATCATGCTCGGCGGCTAGTTAAACAGCTTATTTTTTGTTTTACATTCACACCCAACTGCAGCCTAAAGGCGTACAGCAGAGGGGCTTCAGAGGCCCACTGACTCTGTCTATTTCAGGATCTTCTATTTATTGCCTAAGTCTTTGGTATGCAAAGGCATTTCTCTCAGGTTTCATGCTCTTCAGGCTCTGTTGCTCAAAGAAGTAAAATCTTGGAAAATATCAGGCTTTACCCAAAGCAAAGAGGTTTAATCTACTCTGGTGATTTCCTCAGTAATAATGAGGTCATGCTGGTGCTGCAACAGACATATCCTCACACCGAGCAGGCAGAGCAGCAAGTGCTCATGCTGGAGTTTATGTAACAGGTCATGCTTTATAAGGACTGGGTACTATAACAGATATAGGGAAGCAGAAAATCCCTATAGGGATATTGTAGCAATGTATACACAGAAAATCAACTCAATATTACATCTACCATTAATGTCTCACACGAATATGACCGTTACAAAATCTTAGATACAATTTAAAAAGGGATAAAATATTGAATTATCATGTTGTAAAATATGTTATTCTAAGTATATGTTTACTTTTTGGCTGGTTGTAAATAAATGAATGTTTATGTTCAGGTCTGGTGAGTGTGAAGTATGTTACATCTTTATAACCTACCAGTATAACAAGCAGAACATATTATAGAAAATCCTTTGGATCAAATAAGCATCATAATCATCATAATTAAGTGAATAATCTGAAGGAGAAAAAAAGCAAAGACAAAAGTGTAAAACACACTTACCTGGCTCATACTTGAGGTAGAGGATGGACACGATGTAATAAGCGACATCAAACACGGGAAACATTCCCATTTTTGAGAAAACTTGGGCAATATCGCCCAAATTGAGAGCTGCCAGGACCTCCATGTTGCTTCTATGGTATTCAGAGAGTGTCTGTGTGTTTGTTTTGTATTCCAACTGCGCAGTCTGGTTCGTAAAGCCCCCCCAAAAAACCCGGTCGACTGACTCTCCACGAAGCCCCCCGGTCTCGACAGTGAAAGCCTGTGACACTCAAGCCCTCCTATTAATACCTTTCATCTGCACAGCCTCAGCAGCAGCAGCTTCACGCGCTCCGTGCCAGCTGCTCCGCTTTCTACACCACACAGGGTTTACATGTCAGCTGCTGGACATTGGAAAAACAAAGGGTTTCTCCTCGTGTGTGCATCATCGATAGACAAACTCGTTATTTACCTGAGCTACAATCATAGACTGTACGCGATTTGAAGTGATTGTAGCCTGTAAACACAACAGAGAATGAGACAAGTGTGCATGGTTTAACACGGACAAAGACTCAGTCCCAAACCTCTTAATCCGGATCCTGCACGGAGGCTGCAGACTCACCACCGCCATGTGGCGATATCACCTGCTGTTTACATTCTCAGATGATCAAATCCTTTTTTATTTATTAAAGGCTAATTATGTATATACTATACACATAAACAGCAGGACAATGTTATGTACAATGATCTACATACATTTAATCAAAACATTTTCTATTTTTGCTCATTTTGGTTTTAATCCTTGAGGAGAATAACAATGAAAGCAATGAGCTCTGCCACCACCAGAGGGCAGACATTACTCACAATTAAAAACCTAGTGGGTCTATCTTGGTCTATCTTCAAAATGTCAATTTAGTCAAGTTGACATTTATGGATACACATTTATTAGTCCGTCTGAATTTTTCCTCTCCTTTTACATTCCTTATTTGAATCACCAAAATCAAGATGCTTCTGTGATATTGCAAGACTAAATGCTAATTTAAATAATGCAAATTAATGAGGGATAGTGTCTGACTTTATTAAAATATATTTTAATATTCTAATATCGTAACATAATTTAGAATGAGCTTAATGAAGAAGAAAAACAGCAACCCTCTGCAGTTCTGAACCTGCAGCTGTTATTGCGCTTATTGTCTAAAGCTGGCGCACGTGGATCAGGTAGAATGTATTATGAAATGAAAATGGAGAATTTGTCCTAGTTTTAGCTTTGAACGTTTCGGCAGGTTATCTCATTCACCCCAACCTGCCTCTAATCATATCCTTTAACATTAAATGGACTCTACATTGAACCATTTCATTGTCACAACGCACCCCCTCAGAAGGGTTAAACCGAATCTAAATTGTTCTTACCATAATGACGGTCTTAATGTTACAATGCATTTTCCCCATACTCTGTAAATACTGGTTATCTCTTAATTATTGGCATAAAATGAGTTTGACTTAAATATAGTGTTTTATAAGTCCAATAATATTAACATCAAACTACGAACTATTTTGTAAGTTTTTGATTAGCTTTAAATGAATTATTGGTAGGAATCCACACGTTTAAAAACCAACATGAATTGTCCGAGATGAATCTGAAGACACAACCGTAGGCTATTACTGCCTGGCAGGAACGACCTGTCAGTCTAGCATCAGGGCACATAACACCACGACAGAATTCTGAAACGGCATTGGTCACATTTGGTTGCGTGGCGAACACGGAAGTAAGGCGTCTCTCTGATGTGATGTGAGCAAAATGATCGGGGATCTGTTGATATTCGGGTAATTTCTTTGACATTCACATACAAGTACACATTTATATAATTGAAATGTTATTTGTGTGTGTTATCATGCACTGTATTGCTGGTAAGATGGCGATAGGCCAAGCTAAATAACAAGCTAGCTCCGTGCTAATGCCAGCTCAGCAGCTAACGTTAGCTGAACAGGTAAATAACAAACAGTTCTCTCTCTGTGTCCTCCAGGACCTTACTGGTTAATGCAGGAGCTGTGCTGAACTTCAAGCTGTGAGTATTAAAGTTACTGTCACACTGTGTAAAACAGCTACAATGCTCGCATGTGAGGTTAAAATAAATAGAACAACCAATCAGTTAAAGGTTGACTGTGGATGTTTTACAGCAAAAGAAAGGAGTCCCAACAAGGATTCGGAGATGAGTCCAGATCACCCACAACAGGTGTGTCTGTGTGTGTCTGTGTGTGTCTGTGTCAAAGAGTAACATATGTATGTCACAGGTGAATGCAGTTCTCAAAGGATCTGTTTTTCAGGTGACAACATCAGAGAGTTCCTGCTCAGCCTCCGGTACTTTCGTATCTTCATTGCTCTATGGAACATCTTCATGATGTTCTGCATGATTGTGTGAGTATTCCACCCTGAGTTGATGCTGTTTATTTACAAGTAGATGTGTAATGGTTGAACTTGGTGATTTCGACCAGGCTGCAATGTTTTAATAGGCAGTCTATCTACCAAAATGTTACTTTAAAGGATAGTTCTTACTGTCAAAACATTACAAGATAATGTGTGTTCATCACATAAATGCATATTGTCTGTGCAGCTAAACACTGATGTATCAGTGTAAGTTCTATATATATTCACTATAACAAGTGTCTAAATAAAAAAGGGACCTACATCAAATACAACAAAGTCATTGTTTTGTGATGTTGTAAAAATGTTTTAATAGTTCAAATAATAATAATAATAACTGTTGAAATAATGTTTCTTTTTAGAATAAAACAATGCTTTATTTCCAATAAGAATTATCTTTTGTATTCATTTTTTTCAAGTTAGTGTGGAACATTTGTGTGATATCATTGGCATAGTTATTTAAAGTATTTATGCTTTATTTTCCTCGTAAATCTTGTTTAACTGTGTACTGTTAAAGGCTCTGAAGTTGTTGCTCTTCTAACTGTCTGCATGTCTCTAATCCTCACAGATTGTTTGGGTCATGATCCACCTTTGTGTACTGGACTTTCATCAGGATGCTGATTTTCTAGGATGGATGCTATAAACTTCTTCTAAACTGGAGTTTACTGTTCTTTTGGCCCTTACAATTGTATTTATGGTTCATTTCTTATTAACAACCCAAAATCATAAATCTGCTTCCGGCTGTACAGGAATTTATGAATCGCTGTATTTATTTTGTCTTATAGAAGTTGTTACATTTGTACCCTGGTTGAACTGTATCTACGCCAGCACACGTGCCATTGCTGGAAATGTGTTGTCTTGTGCCCATGGGCTTCAACATTGAACAGGAGCATTTTTCTCCAGCATATCAGTTTTGAAACAGAGATGAAAATGATAAACAGCCTTCACTTACAGGATTACAAAACTTGCTAAATAAGCTGAAAAAGCTGCAGGGAACTATATTTAATGTGAGGCAAAATGATCTGTCACTTACAGAACCCTACATCCCCTCTGTACAAACATGTCCAAATGTACTCATCAGCTTTTATGCTCCTTATTTCAATCTGGAAAAAATATCACTTTTTCCTTTATTCAGGGGCACCTGTGCTATGACTAAATGTTTAAGCCCTACAATGTAAATGTGTTCTTATTCCTAACGATAAAAATACACAGTTTTCTTATGCAATGTCTGTTGATTGACATGAAAAATTGTTTTGACTGTATTGGGACAAGGAACGCACGATCTGACCTCATTAAGTCAAATGGGCATTGGCCAGACGTGACTATTAATGTCATTATGAGATCCCCTTATAATACTTCATATTTAATACGGATAATAACTGTATATTCTATGTACTGTAAATGTATTACACTGTACAGTGCAGTTTATATTATACAATAGATTAACATACTTAAAATCTGTGACTTTAGAATGCCACTAACAATGATGATTGTCTCTTCCGAGCAAAAAAGGTTGCAGATTTGAACCCACTGGCAGATGACATTTAATGTATGGATGGAAATAAACTGAATAGGGGTTTCTTTGTGTAGACTGAGAGCCACTGCTAAGGGTTAGGTGTGGAGAAGCTGGCAAATAAATGCAATAGACACAATACCTTTTTTACCCTCTTTATTCAAACCCCAATTCAGAAAAAAACAAGGCAGCTTAAAGCGAGCATTAACATGCACATGTATTTCATTTTTTCATTTAACAGTGTCTGAGGATTCGACGAAATATAATACATAAAATAAAGCAATGCAAGTAAATGAAAGTGATTGAAATTGAAAGTCCATTTATTTGTATCTTACTCCTCTTTGAATTTATTTTTTAGATAATGTACTCCTATACCACGGAATTATAATATTGCTTTGTCTTTATATTATTTATTTATTTCATCTCTTGCGAATGTGAACAATTGGTTACGTAAAATTCTCCCATCATGCTCTGCGCGACCGCTTGACAAAAAGCCGGATGAGAAGGCAGAGGAGGAGGAGGCTACCAGCCGAGGGGGGTAGCCGATTCCTGGAGAGGATTTTCTGTTCTCGTCATTATTAAAACGTAACGGCGGCGAATGAAAACAACAATAAAAGCATCATAAAACATGGTGCTTACTCCCAGAGAAGCTCTGTCGTCGGGCCTGTGAGTGTCGGCAGGTTTCGCACCGCCGCCTCTTCGGGGGATTGTGCTGTCTGGGTCCGACCTGACCCTCTCACCGCCGGGCGATGACAGCGACTCCAGCCACTCCGCAGCTGATGAGAGACCGGCTGCTGCTGGCCATCGACGGCCAGAGCAATGTGAGTATAACCGGTACTTTCCAAAGGACGAACTGGGTGCGTAGAGGCAGATAATAAGGCCAAGCCGACTTGACAAAGTGGGGGCTTTCACTTATAATGTTCTTGCTAATTAGCTTGCTAACATCACAGGTTAGCTAAAGTAACTAACAGGCATTCCAATGGCTTGCTAGCTGACTGCTGCTGGCTAATGTTGATGTAGCCAAGTTAGTTTTTGTGTGTGCACTTAAAACGCTTCAAGACTAAAGACGTGAGGGAGAAAGTGGTAACAGAGACCTTTTGGTTCTAGAGACACTGATTAATTAGGGTTTCAGTGAGATCAAGGCAATAGATTACATTATAATCTCCTCTGTCACTATAATGCAGTTGATGAGATTGTCATGTTTTCTAGCAAGATCCATGGTACATACTGTTTTTAACATACTGTTAAAGTCAAACAATATAATAATATTAAACTAATTGTTTTGCATTATGCTGTCCTATTGTTCTATACCACTGTTATTACCACCTTGAAAACTACTGTAAAATACTATTGTGAAACACTTAACTCAAAAGTTGTTTTCACTGCTAACCAGAACAAAGGAAAGTATGACCATTTTTAGTATAATGCTTAATGCAATGCTGGGTTTACAAGTTAAAGCAGTTCACTTAATGAGCTGATGTGTTTGATTCATATCTTCTATATTATTTTAGATCACTAAATGGTGTCTTTCAACACTTTCAACAAGAGTGTGCTGACCTCATTATCAATGGCGACTCTTACATATGTGTAAGAGGTATAAGAAGTGACCTCTGGGATGTCCTGGCTGTGAATGACACTACACATTCTTTGTGTTGTAGCTGACAGTCATTCATATCCAGCGTAAACAGGAATGGTGGTAGGAAATCCTCAATCATAATGTTTTTAACCAACACACAAGATTGTATTTTTTTAGCAAATAAATAACAAATAAATATAGGTAGTTTATTACATTCATGCAGAAATCTGTATCAATCCATTATTGGATTTAGCAGTCCTCATTGATATGCAACATTTACACTGATTATTACTATAAGCTTATCTTAACACAATCTAGTGGACACATTTATATAACTTCATGGTAAATATGATCAAATCGCTCAACTTTAGTTGGCGCAAAGCAGGCTCAGATTAAAGTAAACAGGACACTATTTTCAGCACTTTCTTCTTTCTTACTTGCATATCTTTTATTCTCCTGGGGGGTGGACACATTTGCATGCAATCTCAGTTTGTCATAGTGAGCCTGAAACCAGTATGCATGGACTCTTTACACACAGGTGCACATTTGAAAGACTATTCAAATGATGCCTTGACCTTTTAAACAGCCTTTCTTTCTCTCTCTGGAGAATTGATGTATGGTTGGGCTGTAAGGTCCTGAATCACTGCATAACAACAACTGTACGTGGACACTGTGATGGTGATGCCTAAGACAATAATGATGACCGAGGATTAGAGATGTCCCGATCCGATCACGCGATTTTCAAAAGATCGGAATCGGGAGAAAAAAATCGGGGATCGGGAATTTTCTTCTTTTTTTAAAATAAAATATTTGTATTCTTTTATTTAATGTCACAAAACAAAAATGACCATGTTCACGTCTTAAAGTCATCCTGAGGCCTTAGTTTTGGTTTAAAATGACACAACATCATGTACGTGTTGCTTCTCTTGGGCTTGTTTTCAGACCTGGTTGCTTATTCCTCTCAAAGCTGGCAACAGAGTGGGCGCAGTGTCTAATAGTAGCAGTAAGCTAACGAGAGGCTACGTTCAGCTGGTGACTCGGGAGTCGGGACGGAGCAAATGTCAGGAGTTTGGAAGTATTATAAAATTGAAAGCGAAGGCAGTGTAACAGCCAGATGCAATGTTTGCAAGGCGGAGGTTCCGCGTGGTGGAAAGAACAGAGCTACGTTCAACACGACCAATCTAATACGCCACCAGAGAAACAAACACAAACAACAACACGACGAGTACACAGCGGCCACTCAGTTAACGGCACAGAAACAACCGACACTTTCAGAGACTTTTAAAACAGAACAGTAAAAAGGCCAAAAAAATAACAGCCAAGATCGCTGAATTCATTGCGTTGGATGACCAGCCGTTATCTGTTACCTTTTTTTTCTCTTAATGCATTGCATAAAGATCGGATCGGGAAAAATCAGTATCGGCAGATTGTTAAAATCAAATGATCGGAATCGGATCGGGAGCAAAAAAAGGTGATCGGGACATCCCTACAGAGGATTGTAATATATACCTATGTGTCTTTTCAGCAGATATGCAACATGGTGGTAGTCATGGAGGTGATCTCCTATTTGGAGAAATATCCTATCACCAAAGAGGCACTGGAGGTGGGTTACATTCAGTCCTACAGTATGTCCTTTCCAAATATATGGCAGCTGAATCCGTTCATAATATAATTGCTGTTAACCACTAATCTTATCTCCTTAAAGGAAACCCGCCTTGGAAAGCTCATCAACGATGTCCGAAAGAAAACTAAGAATGAGGACCTTGCAAGAAGGGCCAAGAAGCTGCTGCGGACTTGGCAGAAGTTAATTGAGCCAGGAAAGGGAGAGATGTTGTCCAAAGGACACACTGGTGCATCATGGTCTTCCAATGGTGGTGCTCATTCCTGCGTCTCCACTCCAGCTGCCACCACACCATCAACTAAAACGGGTTCAGAGTTGAAGAACAGAAATGACTTCAACAACTGCTACTCCCCGAAGGTTGAGAAAACAAGCACCAGGAAAGGTAAGGGTGACCACAAAGAAGAACTGCTCTTACCAGCAAAGAGATCCAAAATGACTCTAAATGATCAAATGCAAAACTCCAAACAGCTGCCAACCAATGGAATTGGTGGTAGCTCTGACATTTTTAAAGATACTCGTACACATCAGCCTTTAGACAAGGAGATTTCAGAGCCTTTGGACAATGACAGACTAATTAAAATCCCAGTCAATGCTGTCAAACCTCATCCAAGTGCCCTGGGATACAGCAAGCCTCCTAGCACTTCTTCTTTGCTAAAAGCATCAGTTCTGCAGCAGCAGGCCAGACGGGAGCAAGCTGTCTCTGGAGGGCAGCATCGACCCAGAAGCCCAGGCTGTTCCTTGCACACTCCTCAAACTCCAAATCAGGAAACTGGTGTAAACCAAACTGCATCACAAGCACAAGGTCTTCCAACCCCCACTGTGAGGCCCGGGCCTGGGGACACCTCTGGGCTGGGGCCATCCTCTCAGCCTTCCACTGGTTGTGTTCAGGGTTTGCACACAGATGGTTCAGAATTGCATTCTCAGCGCAGGCCTCCCAGTACATCTCTTCTCAAGTCCTATGACTCCTCCTGTGGGGATGTGGTCAATTTGGAAGCTTATGGTGCTATTAGCAATACAGAGAAAAGGAAAAAACAGAAAAACAGGCCTAAAGACCATGTGATACATTCAGAGGGACAGACTGTAGAAGACAGCACTAAACCAGTCAGGTTAAAAGACAGGAGACTGACATTTGACGCTGTCACAGGACAGATAAAATCCTCCTCCCAGAAGGAGATTTGCCAGGAGGGGGATGTCAGATTGGAACCTCAGTGTTCAGAGCAGCCGAAGCTGAATCCCCCAGTTCCTCCCAGTCCCTTCCAGCAGACAGACTGGAAAGCGCTGTCACGGAGCGAAATCATCCAGTCGTACCTTAGCCAGCAAAGCAACGTGCTGGCGTCGTCAGGCCCCAACACCCCTGGTGCACACTTTTTGAAAGAATTTGTGAAAAAAGAGGAACCCCGCACTACAGATGTGAAGAAAACACACGTGCTGGCCCCAGAACTCCCAGCCAGGGATTTACCTGGGGTTAGCAGAGAGGTCATCAACGAAGACCTGAACAAATTACACAAGCAACACTGGTCCGGGGTTAACGGTTGCTATGACACAAAGGGTACTTGGTATGACTGGACGGAGTGCATCTCTTTAGACCCGCATGGAGATGAGAGCAGGTTGAACATACTGCCATACGTCTGTCTGGATTAAATCTGAGCTCGGGTTTGGAAGTTGTAAGCTGCCTTCATGGTTGAGCAGAGCAGCTCTGCGTTGGTCAAGGCTCTTTTATTTAAGAGGCAGTTTTGCATTGCGGCTGAAAGTGGAGTCTATGTGCTGCCTACGTGGGTGTGTGTGGAGCACAGGAGGTAATCAGTGTTTTTATGAGTTCATGAACATTGTGTGAGGACGGCACAAAGGAAAGAGGCTATGCATTACCTTACTATTTAGTAACTGTACACATTGAGCTCCCCATACCTGCCATTCTTTGTATGGGAGAGGACATCACATTAAACTGCACAGCTGCATTTGATCTGTCTTAGGAAATCCACATGACCTGTGGAATGTGACTTTACTGAATTGTCTGTGTCATTTTACATTTATTTCACAGTGCAGTATTTTTCAATTTAAAGTTTTGTTTGTCTTATGTGTTTAAAAATGTTTCACCTTTCAATTGAGACTGGTAAGCTACATAATTGGTACTAATGAGGGTTTTGTTTGCATTTACTAATGCATCTTGAAAAGTGCTGTTTAGCTTGAAAAGCTGAATTGAATGCCATCTTTAAGTATGTCATTCTCATTGGTGTTAGAAAACTATAAAATCCTGTGCAAAACACTCGTCACTGCACCTCTTTAGAACTGCTGTTTCCCCATTGCACAACTGTCTCCTGCAGTGGCTTTTAGCATGAAGAAAAACAATCTGCTTGAAAACATTTAAATATTTTTCTTGTGTTGTTTGGTTTGAATGCTGTTAAATAACGTGACATCACTTCCAGATATGAGTGTGCAGCTTGGGCTGAAAGAAAGGCCTGTATGAGGTTTGAACAATGCACTCTGATAAAGAAGTCTGAGGCTGTCAAGTATAATATTTATTTACATTTATATATTAATTTTGTGATTTATATACATGTTCAGACTTCTTTCATTTTCATTGTTAGATTTCTTTGTTCAGCATTTACTGCTTAAAAACCAACTTACTTCACACAGGAAAACTGCAAAATGACACATTCTGATAATGTGAAAACAAGTTATTTAATACTTGCCTTTTCCCTTTACTGTGAAATATGTATTGAAATGGCAGAGCAGAATATTCTCCTAGTTTTGCATCTTTGTCTTCTGTCAGGACAACTACATTGAAATGCTGGATAAAGTACTTCATATCATTCCTGTAGATACTGTTTGCCTTATGGAAACCTGTGTTTTCCCTAAAGACGGAGCCTTAGTGAATGTACAGAAATTAGCCTTTTGTGTTCGGTAAACATGCGAGAACATATTTGCTACTTAGTCCTTTAAGCGGACATGTTGATATGTGTTAATAAAAAAACTGAATTAATTGTGAGTGTCTTATTTTCAGGAATTAAAAAGTAGCCCTTTAAAATTACCTCCTGTAATCTAACTGAAAAATAGTTTCCACAGTGCAGAATCTCTGCATGCTAACTATATTTTTGATTAATTCTTAGGATACTCCTATACATAAGTATGCTTATGAGCAATTGTAACAAATCCACACAGTCATTGATGCAATTACACATCTATAGACGAATTTGAAGCTGATTCCAATGTGTCAATTAGCTCAACAGAAAATGATTAGCAACTATTTTTTATTAATTATACTTTCAAGTATATGTTTTATCCCAAAATACCAAACATTCCCCTGTCTGAGCGTTTAATGTGTTTTGTTTATAATATAATAAACTGTCTCTTATGGGTTGTTTTTTTCTGATACTGAGAGAATACATTGAAATGTATTAAACCTGCAGATTCACAATTGAGTCCAATTCAATGACCCTTTGTTAATTAATAAAAGCAATTAGATGTTGTGCATATGTGTAAACCGACAAGAATAATAGAAATGCACAGATAGTCACAAGCAAAGTTGATTATAACCTGTTTTACCTGTTTACCAGGAAAATACCTACATGGCAATTTTTACAATATTGATTACAAGTTAGTTAATTTCCCCAAATCTACCATTTTAATGCGGCTCAGAAGGTTCCATCATTAAACGCATGTCTGCAGATGACTTTTATTTTGAAACGCGCGGCCGGAAGTGCTGCCTGGGCTCCATTGTTGTCAGGGTGACGCGGAGCAGCTCCCGGTGCAGGCGGACTCTCCGCCGGTGACTCGTCACTCCGCGCTGGAAGATGGCTGCGGCGGACCGGCCCCCTGTTAGGGAAGGGATCCGGATATTTTTTCTGTGTGTGTGTTGGTACACGGTCAGCTCAGGGGGCAACATCGTCAACAAAATCATCCTGAATGATTTCCCGTACCCCGTCACAGTTTCTCTGTTCCACATCATCTCTATCGTCGTGTTCCTCCCGCCGCTGCTGCGGGCATGGGGAGTCCCCACAACAGAACTGCCGAGCAGTTACTACCGGTGGACCATCCTGCCTCTAGCTTTCGGAAAATACTTTGCATCTGTGTCTGCCCACTTCAGCATATGGAAAGTACCCGTTTCATATGCGCACACCGGTGAGTACAGCCTGTTTGCATGAATGTGTGAGATAATGTGAGGCCACCTGGTAACTTGATGATGTGTCCGCACCGTCAGCTGTTAGCTACGTGGCTAACGCAGGGCAACTCGGCGACACCGACATAAAGGAGCCTGTGAGCCCGGGTCAGCGTGGCGTCCGTGAACAGACATGCTTTCATAGGATTTATTAACTTACCGTCGACCCGCTAACTTAAAATTGGTCCGCTTGAGGCTCCATTTAAGAGTAACTAACTAGCTACTGTTAGCTAGCTCCCCAACTTAATTAAAGCTAATACGTCAGGGGGGAGGGTCCAGGACTGAACCTGTTCGGTGTTGCGTTTCTCTAACTTTGATCGCTGACTGATTTGATGTAATCCTCATATAATTGAGTTTTCCCCTAAGCATTGAGAGAAGAAGTATTGAGATCCTTAAGGGGAGAAAAGTTCAAATACGACGTTGTGAAAGTTATCCTCTACAAGTAAAATACATGCATTCAAAACCTTTAAGTAGTATGAGGGAAATGTAAATCCAAAACAAACTTTTATGCAAATAATATGGATATCGTTTAAATTGTTATTGTCCAGTAAAATGTTCCCTTTGAGTGTTTGACTGTGATTCACATGTTGCATTTGACTGCTGCATGGATGAGATAATTATAAGTCCTTTATTTACTGTTGGGTAGTTGAGTCTACAGCAATGCATCTCTACTACATCTTCATTTTTCAAGCGTTATGGTCCATAAGTCACCTCTAACAAAGTATTTGTTTTTAGAACAAGTACCCTATCTTCAGCTTTTTGATGATGCTTTTTCATTTGCACGGTTGTTAGGCAATGTATGATTAAAAAGTTGGACATTTTGTCAACACTTAAATTAGTGTAGTTTATCAGAAAAAATTCTCATATTTGAAGATGCATTGTTTTCGCTGGGCAGGAAGGGGAGGAAATACTGTTCTCTGAAACGGAACCAAAACTGACAAACCAAAGTAGTTTCAGTCCAAAGTTATCCTTTTTCCCACAGGCCAAGTGGATATTGATGGTTCAAATGTTATCAGCCTCTCAATAGATTAACATTATTTGAAACTGTTTATAGAGGTTTTTTTGGAGGCTGTCTATTATACTGATAAGTTTGTACAACTATGTTCCACCCATTTCTATATAAATACGTGTGGACTTAATAATGAAATACCGTTCATTATAATGCAATACAGTTTTAGAACACCACAATTTGCAGTCTAAAGTATTACTACAATGTTTTTAAAATATTTCAAAATCCGAGTCTGTCATGACCAGTGTTGTGCTAGTTACTGAAAACCAGTAACTAGTTACCATTACTAGTTACTTCATTTCAAAAGTAACTCAGTTACTTTACTGAATAATTACACAAACAAGTAATGCATTACTGTGAAAAGTAACGTTTTAGTTACTTAAAAAAGGGCTCCCATTAATGCCCTTATAGCCTTCCTTTCAGTACTGTTATTGCATTGGAGAATAATACAATCTGTTGATCAACTTGACATGCATTATATGCAATCTGGATTGCATCGATATTAGCTGGCTTTCCATTTTTGTATATTCTTTCTCCAGGTAGTTGGAAAAAGATTTCCGTCCCATATGCCGTGTGCCGCCCGGACATGCTATCATGCTAACTAGCTCCCTGAAAGCGGGTGACTCCACTGTAGCAATAGCCTGCATGTGTTCTACAACATACCGTGCAATGGCTTTATCCACTTTTCCCTGGCTAGCAGTCCCTTGGTTAAAATCCAGCCGCTGTTGCTTAGGTGGAGGTGGAGTGGCGTTGGCTGAGTCTCTGTGGTCTTAGCTACTAGCTTCGTCCCAGCATGTTGTTTTTGCAGATGTTTCAAGAGATTTGAATGACTGGTTTGGGCAGTAGATAGGATCTTTGACCCGCCAAGACACAACTTACATTTAACAGAAACTTTCTTTTCTTTGTGCTCGACAAAAGAAAGAGTAACGCCTTACTTTGTAGTGTGTTAGTCCCAACACTGGTCATGACTGATGACAGCTCCCATTGACACACTCAACTGGTTTAACCTGCTTTAAATAACCGTGTAGCTTTATTCCATTAGTTCCCATCAGTATTTGACAGTTGAAATACAATTCAGTTGTCAGTCTTATACAACAACAGTTTGAAGGTCATACGTCATGATTTTTACGACGGTTTGATTGTTCAGTTTTCTCTTTTATCTATTTTAAGAGAGGTGTCAATTCTACTTGGACTACATTGATTGAAAGCTTATAAAACACTTCTCCTTAAGAGTTCAAATTTCAACAGCACCTGTCAAATCAACTTTAACTGTGCTTATTTACAGTTGTTTCTCTCTTTTTAAAATTACATTCGAAATGCAAGTGTAGGGAGGGAAAGACGAGGTCTGTCACCATCAGTTTATCGTTATGCCCTCCTGTGTTATTTAACCAATATCATCATATTTTAATTGTTACCTGAAATTCATTTTCTAAATACCACAGTAAACATAGTCATATCTTCTAATAGTTTGTCCTAAAGTCAACTAAATACACTTAAAATTAAACTATTCTTGGCTGTTTTGATCACCTCTACACTAGTGCTGGGGGGAAACGATTATTTTGAAAACGATTAATCGGGCGATTATTTGATCGATTAGTCGACTAATCTAACGATTATTTTTCTGTTGTTCAATTCATAAAACACGTAATGGTTTCACGATACTGTGTCTCAGGGGATCTTAATATTTAAGAACCTATGAATGTGTTATACCAGATTAACGGAAATAATCTCAGCTAACTGACGATACAAACCATGTTTACCAAAACAAAACACAAGTCTCATAAGAAGCATCTAAATGACCCCTGAGCGAAAAATGCTAATGGACATTGGCACAGAACTCAAGATAAAAGTACCCTTATTACTTATCGTAGCTGCACATACAATATATCCGATTAAAGCTGAGACTCCACAGATTATGTAGGTACATAGCATCATCACTGAGTGATCCGGACTCGCGACAGGGGAAGCAAATACAGTCATCACAACACGTACCTTCACAGAGCTTCTAGGGAGATCGTCTCACCACCGTAGCTGTCAATCTGATCAAAAGACGTGTTCAATGGCATTAAAATGAGAAAAAACGCGGCTGAATCGGTTAATCCATAGGTTTTTAACGTCTATGTATAAAAAAATGATTTAATTTATAATCCATAATTCCATTTTTATGTAAAAATCGGAGAGCAAATGCTAGCTGCTAATGGTAGCCACCACAGCTAGCTGCTGCTTCCGGTCTAGGATATGCAGCTTTGCTTTGGGTGACCCACGTGTGTGTGTAGCGACGTGGAAATATGTCGTCGACGATATTTTGAAGTCGTCGACGCGTCGCTACAGCACTACTCTACACACACTAACTAAAGGAACCTTGTTGGTCCTTGGAAACAACTTTAGAGGCACAGCTGCCATGTCAATAAATCTCTCTCTCTCTCTAAAGTTTCAAAGTCACTTTGTCCATGTGGATAAAGTTATTTTTACTGAGCTGAATCTAGTTTTCATGGCTTTTAAGTCTCATTGTTGGTAACACACACCATCAGGATAAACCTATGCCAGTAAGTGACGCATTACAATGAAGGTGTGTTGTGTTTGGCTTGGCTTTGACCCAGTAGCTTTTCAAATGTAATCAGTCTTGTACTCTCACCCATTTAAAGGGCAATATGTTTGATATGGAGACACATAGTTTGTTGTAATTTCCCAGCTGAAATTGTGCCTTTCTCTATTCTTTCTTTCTCTCACAGTGAAAGCTACAATGCCAATATGGGTTGTGCTGCTATCAAGAATCATCATGAAGGAGAAGCAAAGCACAAAGGTGAGTAGGTCCGACTCTGCAAACAGGACACAAGGCCCGCTCTGTTTCTCAGTGTTTGACACAGAGCAGTGGTGACGTGGCACAGTACTGCTGCGCCTATACTGCCGTATCACGGATATCTGCAGGGGCTTTTGTCCCTGATCAGATGTTCTATAGGGGGGTGGAAGTTGGTATTTCCACATCCACCTGTTAAATCCCCAATTCACTCAATACTTCTAATATTACAGCAGCCAACTGGGGTTGTGTTGATGCATGTCTTTGAACTTGTTTTTGTTTAATGCTGTATGTTGGTATGCCGTGTGCAGCAGGTGGAAAGGCATCTTTAAAGCAGCGCACGGAGTGATATGAGAGATTGATTGTCTGGCTTAGCGGTGTCATGATTTTTGAGGACAAATCAGCTGCTATGCCCACACTCTTTGTTTGATATTAATCCATGAGCAAAGTGAAGGGATGGGAGAGATTTACCGTGGAGGATCAACTCGAGTGGATGGAGAGTATCAAACTTAAAGTGTCAAATTAAACAGAGGTTCTTCACACACTAAATAAAACCTTCAACAAGTCATATTGTTAGCATCACATGTGACAGTCTCGATAAGCTTTGACACTTCTACCACATAGATATTGCACACAAACCCAATGACTCCCATCACTGTAATAGATACTGAATGAAATGGCTGCAACTAATAACACGTGTTCATTGTCGGTTATTCTCTCGATGAGTTGATAGGCTGTTTGGTCAAAGATATCAATCAGCATTTCACAAGAGAATGACATTTTCAAATGTTTTCCACAACTAAAAAAGATATTCAATGTGCTATGGGAGTAAAGGAACCAGAACATAATTAAGAAGCTAGAGACAGAAAAAGCTGTGAAATAGGATAATAGTTGACAACTTTGAGAGCTCTACTGTACAAACCCATTAACAGGAGTGAACATCTAGGCTGTATTTTCCGTCATGCATAGCAACTGTGTTGTCAAATTGTTACGGTGCTTTTTTCCCCCCGTTGCTATAGTGTAGTTTTACCTTTTTTTGAAGTATGCTCTGTGCAGCTGTATAATGTAGACAAAGTAGATGTCAATAAAAAGTAGCTCAATATCTGCCTCTACCACTCGGTATTAAATAAACAATGATGGAGGCGAAAACGTTTATCATCTGATATACAACCTCATTTTCCATCCTGATGGTTAAACATGTTACACTCAAGTTCTCTTAAATGTGAATAAGGAGGAGACCTCTGAGTCTAGCATCAGCCTGTCAGGTTAACCTTACAGTGGACAGTTCAGTATTCAGACAGGCTGCCCCACACACACGGAGCATGACGCTCATCACGTGTGTGTGCAGATCATGTTTGAGGAGCAGTAGGCCTCACGCTGAATACATACTTAGTTTAGACATGGCTCAGTTTTGTTAAAATATAAATATCATAGACGGTACGAAACATACTCAGTGACTTACAACAGTCGTCAAAAGCAAACCGTATTGTAGAACAGTTGTATTGGATTGCATTGAAAGTGTATCTAATAAAGTGGACGGTGTGGAGCTTATGAGTACAGAGTACTTGTGACTAAACAGTACCTTCTTTGAAAGCATTGGTATAGTCTTCCCTTTAAGCTGGGAAAGCCTCCTGGATGAAATTCCACAATGAGTTGTAAAATGGGAGAGAAATCTAGGCCTCAGCTGAACCAGACGAGGCCCATCTTATATTTCAGGGTTTCTAAAAAAAGAGCACCACTCCCATTACAATAGTGTCATTGTCTTAAAGTACATATTGGATATACCTGCATGTCCCTTGTTGGCAGAAGATCACTTTATAAAGTCGTTGCCAAGAGCTGCTCTGCTTCTTTGTTCTGCATCCTGTTGAAATGGTCTAATCATCAACCAACAAATTAAGAGAGCTTTAAGGAACAGTCTGTTCTCATACCACCAAGTTCCTTATTCTTGTTGCCAGTGTATATATGAGCGTTTACTTGAACAGTATAACTATGGGCAGTCGTTCTTTTAAAGGCGGTAAATGGACTGAACATCCAATTAGTGTTTTTTCTCAGTTTCCCTCTGTGTAGCTGGTTTGAGGAGAGTGGGCGACTGAGTGGCTGCACAAGAGGGTTTCATAACAACTGCATGTCTCTGTCATCACAATCAAACATTTTCTAAATGCAAATAAAGCTGGCTTCAGATGTTTCTGATGGTTTCAGCCTTCAAGGTGTTTTCCTCAAGTTTCAGAAAGAGGGGTTAGCACCTCCAGGTGCAGCCTCGACGTTTTGTCTCACCATCCTAACATGTGGTAGGATAGATTAATAACGCTCCTGCAGCACTTTGTGCATTTTACAAAGTTTAGTAAAGAAGTTTGAGAGAGTTTCTTCTGGGATACAAGTTGTGTTTGTGCTTTGGAATTTAGGCTTGTTTTAATGATTCACGTTGGGCTGCAGCTTAAGTTTATTTTCATCAGCTAATAATCTGCCAATTATTCTCTCAGAAATCTATTCTAGCGCTGACACCTAACTCGATTACTAAAAATGGTTATGACCCGTGTAACTTCCTAACACTAGCTTTATGCAGTACATCAACAATACTAGTACTAATGGTAATATTTTAAAATATAAAAACAAAATGCAATCCTTCATTCCCTTGAATTGTTTGTTTGTATACAAAAACACTATAATGAAGAATAAAATATGTAATTGTTGACGAGAGTTTAATTGTGACGAATACATAACTCTTTACTGTTGGGGAAATCATTTCCAAGGCCCATAACTTTGACCCAGTGTATCAGTTCAAACTGTCCTGACTGAGCACACGCACCTGTAACCTTGGCTGCTGTGCTCTCAGTGTTTTGTCTGCCTGTTGGCGTCAGCTGATAGAGGTGTTATGATTCTATCTTGTTATGCACAATGTTGTGTCTCTGAACTAGCTAAATACAGTACATGGGTCTGGGGTAGAGTTCTTCAGACTTGACGTGGCAACGCTCCCGTGCATTCAGAATCTCTGGCTCTTGGACTTGTTTTGTGAATCCTCCGGCCGAAGCTCCAAATAAACCATCAGTGTTTGACATCTAAGCTCCAGCTCTCCCCGTGTCTCCTTCCTGAGTCGGTGACTCCCACTGCATAGCTACACAGAAGTTTTCCCCCACATTTACAATATAAGCAATGAAATGGTGATTATCCTAAAAAACATGTAGTTGTTTACTCGTATTTCATTTAAATGTTTTTAAGTATTTCTTATCCTAGTTCAGTCAAAATAATGTCATACTTTGTCTATCCCTATCTATTTCTCAAAGTTAAAGCTGATCACTTTCAATGTTTAATTTGCCAGTCCAAAACCCAAAGATGCAGTTCACTGGGATATAAAACAGAGAAAAGCATAACATCTCCATGAAAGAGTCCGAAAAAAGCACGTATTTTGTTCATTTCTGCCTGAAAATTACTTTAATGTTTAATCAATTATCAAAACGATGATTCTTACTAGTTTTAGTAGCATGCAGCGAGTGATGTTTTGATGGATATAAACTGAATGTTGTTCCTCTGGGTTTCTGCTGACTCTGTTTCTATCGTAGGTGTATGTATCGCTCATCCCCATCATCGGGGGGGTGCTGCTGGCCACGGCCACCGAGCTGTCCTTTGATCTTTCAGGACTCATCAGCGCTCTGGCTGCCACGCTCTGCTTCTCCCTGCAGAACATCTTCTCCAAAAAGGTAAATCCTTGTCATGCTGGAGTGTGCCCCATGAGGACTAAGATGTGGAAAGTGAAAAGTGTTGCTTCTGGGTGCTTTGATGTGAAATGCCATAAAATGACATGTTTTTTGTTTGTTTGAGGGTTTTTGTATATAAAATGCGGTCAGAAAAGTGAAATGGTTCTGTGTTGAAATGAGCAACTGCATTTCACAACTATTGTCCTTATGCGCCCTGGTGTTGTTGCCCTAAAGAAATAGTGTGTATGTGATATTGCATGCAGGCCTCATGTTCAACCAAATGCTGGTAATTGGCAATATTACTATCACAAACATAAATAGACACAGCAAAGTCTACTTAGTGATTTGAAAATATTGCTGTTAGTTCTGGGATTTTGGATTTCATGGTGGACACATAATAAAACTTAAGGTTGAAAAACAGGATCGAAAATGGAATATTGTCATCTCCTGGCGGACCTATTTTCATTAGAAACAATTAACGTTCTGGGTCTGGCTTCTCGTTTGGCACAAGTCTGGCTTATGGCAAAAACTCTACAAAGCGATTTACTTTTCAACACTATTATAAATAATGTCCTGGTTAAAAATATCTTAGCTGACTTTTATAAGGTTTTTGTTCTAAAGCGATTGGTGTAGTCAACTCTGTCATGTAACAATAAAGTAATGTAACAATAAAGGACCCAAAATATTGCATCACTATTAGGGTTGGGAACCGAAACTCGGTTCCAGATGAGAACCGATAAGAAAATGCCGGGTACCGGGTACCCATACAAAATACACAATTTCGGTTCTGCTTAACGGTTCCTAAACGCGGTAGACCCTGTATTCCAGCGGGTCCGTCTGCACCGCGGTGCTGCGGTGACCCGGTGGAATACAGGGCGGACCTGGAGAATCACAGAACGGCCGGTCGTCAGCGGGCCGTTGACGGCCGGCTCGGTACGCTGACGGCCGGCACCGCCCTTCATTTTTTTAAACGGCATCATATAAATTGCGCTGACAGGCGACAGAGGTCCACAGTTGCCCCGCAGCGATGCTCCCCCCGCCCTCCCGTAGACATTTCACGAGCTCAGTCACTTCATAACACCAAAGATAGGTCGCGGTAAACACTCTGAAGTGAGGCTCCACTACACTAAAAAAGAAAAAGAAAAGGCAAAGTGTAATGCCTGTTAATAGCTTGCCACAGGCATAGCTCAGTTAAAATAAAGCACAGCTATTGTGCAATACATTTGTATTGCATGTATATTTTTTAGTAACAATTTCAGTTAAAGCTTTTAAGAATAAATATATTTTTGTTATCTAAACGTTTGACCTCTTTATTTTACAATTTTGGAATCGAAACGGGGAATCGATAAGAACCGGAATCGATAAGCAGAACCGGAATCGAAATCGGAATCGATAAATTTCAAACGATACCCATCCCTAATCACTATTGACTTGTATGGAGCAGTATGACTTTTGTTTAGTTTACTTCCTCCTTGTCTAAATGTTTTCTTCCCCTTATTAAAGGTTTTGCGCGACACAAAGATCCATCACTTGAGGCTGCTCAACATCCTGGGCTTTAATGCCGTTTTCTTCATGCTGCCCACCTGGGTTCTGGTGGACCTCTCCGTGTTTCTCGTTAATGGAGACCTGGTGAGTAGCAGTAAAGGAACTTCTTTGTGACAGCAGCTCGTTTTGGCTCCTCAACCTAACCTGACCGTAATGCTTTCTTCGCAGGCCGACATCCAGGGATGGTCGGGGACCTTCTTCCTCCTCCTCATCAGCGGCTTCTGCAACTTCGCTCAGAACGTCATCGCCTTCAGCGTCCTGAACATCGTCAGCCCGCTCAGCTACGCCGTCGCAAACGCCACCAAGAGGATTATGGTCATTAGCATCTCACTGCTAATGCTGCGCAACCCGGTCACCAACACAAACGTCATGGGTATGATGGCGGCCATAGTTGGCGTCTTCCTCTACAACAAGGTGAGTCACACTGACTAATGGGAGGAAGTAAGAGGAGGTAAATTAGAGGTTCCTTTCATTTTAGAACCCCTTAAGAGCCATCCAGTGTTTCTGATTTGCATACAGTATGACAAGCCCTTGAGCGAGACCCCCACACTGCTCCCCCAGAGCTGAAAATAAAAAAAGCTGCTTGATACTTATAATACTAAGATGTGTTAAATGCAGTGCTGTGTACATGTGTGACATTTAAAGTTGAATCTTCCATTTCCATCCTACAAATATTTTCTGAACCTTATCTTGTGGTGTAAAAAACATAAAAAATAGGTTTGCATAATTATACATTATTTTCCATAGCATCCACCCCCAACTATGTGCTCTATAGATTCTCGATGTATAGGCTTGGCTTTTGCTTTACAGTTCTTCTTTTCTCAACTGCCAATATTTCTGTCACTCTCCATTCTACTTGTGGCTGTTTGGCTACAGACTTAAAGTAAATAGTTATGTTAAGACTCTCTGTATTTATCCTCTGTGAGAAACATTTTTCCCACCACAGCTATGTAGGATCCGTAGGCATACAGCCAGTCATTTAGAATCTGCCCTTCTCCCCTGCCAACAGGCCAAGTATGACGCCAACAAGGAGAAGAAGCTGCTGCCAAGCTCCAAGCAGGACCTGGTTTCCTTCGACGACCCGGTGATGGAGAAGCTCCAGGCCAACGGGTCAGTGCCTTTCTCCCACGGCCTGGATCAGCAGCACAGCAGGAACAACGTGCTGACCGACCACTTCCAGTACAGCCGGCAGGCCTACACGACAAACCACGGCAACAGCCACCAGTACGTCGTGTGAGGGAGGGGTTTGCCCTCGCTCTGCACGGCTGTCATAGACTTTGCTGTGTGGCCGCCGCCTCTCTGCAGCGGCACACGGCTCCAAACACCAGACTGAAGGCAAGTGCTGTTTGTTCTGGACGGGAGGCAAGAGAGGGCCAGTGACGCGCTCCGCCCCGTCTAAACTTCACTTTCTGACAGCTTTGCCGTATGTCATTGTTTATTTATTAGTTTGGTACTGACTGTATTAGATGGTCTGAGAGGAAACAAAACGTAGCCATGTTATCACAGAAATATAAAACAGCAGGAGTAAAAAAAGGAGGATGAATGGTTTGCACCGTGCCGTCTGGAAATGTATGAGCCAGCCATAATCTCTTGTCGGTTGTTTTTGTTCACTTTCAGAAGATGTTAATTTGGACGCTAAATCACACCAAAACAACAGTCATGTTACATTGTGTAACAGAGTAGTCCCAGTGGAAGGCCTACCGTTTTGGTTTCTTCTTTAGGCACCTGTAATGATGTTTGAATTGTTTGTCACTCTTCAAAAAGCTCAAGGCAGATGGGACTTGTTTGTAGACAATGGAGGAATTGAAGTAACTGTCACCTGATGCTAAGATAATCAGGTCTCTCCCTCTCACTGGGCATTCTGTTGTATGGGGTTCAAACTTGGGATTCATTTGAATCACTTTGGAGATCCACTGATTTATCTAGTATCTCCATGAGGTACACATTTCAATTAGTCCAATACTTCTTTATGACTAACTTTCTACAAAACTAATGGCAATTCCCATCAGCCTCAGCTCTACTTTGTTTAGTGCTAAAGTTAGCAAACTAGCATGCTATACTAACATGGTAAACATTAAGCCTGATATCAGCGTCTAAGCAGCATCGTCATTTGTGAGCATGTTAGCATGGTAAAGCTAGCATTTAGACTGCACTTTTCAACGTGGTATAACATTACATGTGCCTGATGAAGAAAAATGCCCACATTTCGAAAATAAATGTATAAAATATCCATATCCGTTGATTTTGTCTGCAAAAAAACGATGCAGTTTATATTGTTGCACTTGGGAGATGGTTACATTCAGTCACACTTGTTGTCAGCCAGTGTTTTTAAAAGCAGGAACCTTTAAACACACAAAGTGTCTTTTAACTAAGATAACATTTCGGAGTGAGACCAGCTCTGTCTCGGAGCGGTCCATGACCTCCCTCACATCTGTCCTTTCCCCCAAGAAACCAATAAGTCCACCATTTGTTGTTATGGAGCACATGTGAAAAGCTCAAATTGGGTTTACCAGAACAAAGTATCATTTTAGTCTCATCATGTAAACTCATTTTATTATTATTTCCTTTTTTAGATTTTATAGTTTGTAGGAGAATCGATTTACAACAGTGCATTGTTTAACTGATAATTGGTATTTATTCATTGATTGAGTGATATCTTTCTCTCCTGCCAATGTTTTCAGTCTGAACCAAAGCTGCTTTGTCACGTTGAGAGGCCGGGTTTGAGTTTGCACATCATTTGAATGCATTACGCAGATAGTTTCTGTCTGTCCTGGGGTTTTTAATCTGAAGTGTATTTGCAACATTAGCACCCATGGTCAGTGTGCAGCTTCAAAATGAGACATGCATGAAATCACAGGTTTGGGATTTTTTTTTATTATTATTAAAGACTCAATTGTAATGTCCTGGTGGACAAGAGATGTGATTTGCATTATTGATTATTACAATATCTGAAAAACGTTCACCCTAGTTATCATTTATTAATGAAAAGCCTTATTTAATTGAGTTAGCATGGGTCACATGCCTTTCTTGTGCAGGATCTCTGATGCACACTAAGTAACTTACTGCAGCAATATTAGGTTTTATATATATTATTTTTTTGTGATCTCCGCATCGAATTCTTGTCATTTCATAAAGGTAGCATTTATATACTGGGATGTTTTTGTTTTCACTCAGTCATTTAACTTCAAAACGTTAAACCAATATTTCTATATTTAGATGTATTTAAATGACTTTTTAATATCTATTTGTTGCTCTTGAAACCGAAAGGGCAGAGAATTTAAACCCGTCTCTGCAGCTTTACGACTGTTTAGTTTTACAGCCGCACATATCTCATATAGTTAAATGTAAATGCTCTTTTTATCTCCCTGAAAGCAGCCGTTTGAAACAATTGATAAACCTCCTCTCCTTCCCAACACAAAACACTGAGTTTACTACAGACCAGAGTCAGGTATTTAACGACTAAAATACCCTCTTTATGGCATGATTCTGTGAAGACCCAAAGGCAAGTGGATATTATTTGCAACATCTTCATACTAGCAGTAACTTGAAGAAGCAAATGTCTGGAAATACTTCTTTATGTGGAGCTGTCAAGAAAGTTTCACAAGCAATCATGACCCCAACTCTAAATCACATAATACTTACGGAACTTTTTTCAAACAGATTTGTTCTTGAATATTTTGGATCCTTTAACTTAGAAGAGCTGATAGTTGTATCACGTTCAAAACTATTTTTCTAAATATCAAAATGGGAAATGTTATCCCGTTATCCATCAGAAATGATCTTTGGAAAAACCATTGGTCCTTAAGTGACATATCTCAACATGGAAGCCTTTTTGTTAAAAAGGACACTTCAGATGCATCAGATTGGTGCAATAAATCAGGTGAACTAACATATCTTACCCCTGCATGATCAGATACACGTATGGAGATCAGACAAAACGCTGTCATTCAGCTGCGAGGAGAGAGTAAAGACGAACACACTCTGAACTTATCAACAGCGTATAAATGTGACTACATGTTAAACAGCTGTGTGACATCGACAGATAACACCCAAACTACTCAACGAGGAAACAACACTTTTCGTAGTTAAAGAATGTAATGTAACCTAGTCATACTATTTTTATTTTTTCAAAAACTTTGTGTCATTGTATTTTGCTGGAGCAAATGTTTTTAATGTCTTTTGGATTTCTTTTTTTTCCTCTTCATGTTGCCAAAAGCAGTTAGCAATAAATGTTATGATGCTGATGCACCGCAAAATGGGCAAGATGTACAAATGCATCAACTACAACCTGTAGGACACATGTTTTATGAGATTATCCATTCATTTGTTTTCAGTGTCCTGCCGGCTGTTTGTTTCTGAGCTAACGGGGAGAAAAATGTTTTATTTGGATGTTGGCTCTCCTGTAAAGATAATAACTGGGATGTAAATGTTAATGAGTGGAGAAATGGGAGTTTACTTTGTAAAACTTGTATGATTATTATGTGTGTGCATCTCGAGGCATACTTTTTACTTAACCGCTGTTAATAGGTTTTTATTTATGGTGTAAAGGTACAAAAACATTGAACAGAGGTGCAGCTGTGCACCTTGTCTGCTTCTGTTTAGTAAAAGCTATTTTTAAATGTTTGGGGGGGAATAAATGCATTGCGGAATATTGAACATTTTGGTTGTCTTCATTAATATAGAAGTTTATGGAGCTTTTTAGAAAGAAGTGTAAATGTGACAGCTGTTGGGTTATTTCCAGCCACACTTGAAAGATAGTTTTACGTATTGCACTAGCATCAGAATATGTGTGTAAATTCCCGAGAGCATAATGTGTGTGTTAAATCTGTTACCTGTATGCTCTTGCTCCAGGCACCACAGATAAGATGGATGATAGACTTGGTACTGTATATTCATCACATTCTTAGAGACCAGACTTGATTCCTGTTTTGTGAGTTTTTCTTCCCCCTAGTGGCCAAAAATCAGTAAATGCAAGCATCGATTTCCCCTTCTTGAGATGAGAGCTGTGAAGCATGTCAAAATGAATGTGATCTCTTCTTCAATCTCCGCACAGGATGTCATGCATACTTGATCCTGACTGATGTGTCATTCATCCTGAGTAAATCATACATCACCTTTAATCAAGAGATACTGTCAGTGCATGTCTTTTTTCAGCAACACCCTGCAAAGAAATCCTGCAGATAGAGTTCAGCCACCGTCCCGCTCTTCATGTTACAGTTACCTCTATAAACCTCGACCGGACTCTTCCTGGTCTATGACATGCAAAGGGATGCTCACTAGCAATTTGGTCTAAGTCTAATGATGGGTGACCAAAAACTAGGCCAACTGAAGCTGTGTGACCAAGTGTTTACATGCTGTGTTTTTGTTTTTCAATAGAAGCAGGATCTGACCGGAAAAACTGATGCTGGCAAAGTGAATCTTTTCATGTGTACTAGTTGGCATCGTCAGGACCATGTGGTTGAGTTTAAATACAATTTAAAGGTTGAATATAATACTGAAGCCCTGACTTTGTTCAGCTGCTCAGAGCAAATGAGTCTGCCCCAAGGGAAGAGTGTAGTGTCCCTAAATGAGGCTCTACCTTTGCCGCTTCTTTTTTAGCCAATATTAAGTATAAGCTTCCTATAGCTGCACAAATGTTTACACTTATTCAAGCTCATTTTAGGCAAACCTTGTGAGCATAGATGTTGCATTTAGGCTTGCTGTTTAGTAATGTGGAATCATGTGCAGGTGTGTTTTGAAATTAATGGATTTTCTACACGGACCCTATACATTTAATAAACCAAGGTCAAAGGTGGTCAGCACTAAATTAGACAACAGAAATGTGAGTTTCAATCAAAACTGAAACAGTCAAATAGAGACAAAAGACAACAAGGCTCAAGATATGAACTTTAATACAAACATGAATCAACAGCATTTAATCAATGCCTTATTGTTTGTGTAATCCGTACTCCTCCAGGGACGTGGCTGTCACTGGGGTTTTGTGGAGGTAAAATCCTACAAGACACATCTCAGAGAAATACTTGTGCTGCGTCTCAATCAGAGTCTTTTCATATCTCCATGTTATTTCTGTTATAAGAGTGTCCTTTGAACACTGGCTCCAGATGAAACAAGTGTTGTACCATCTCTGTAGCATCCAACTGGATAATTCACATGAACTGACTGATCTGTGGGGGGGAGGAGCTGATGCTGACGTGACGAGGGATGACAGAGGACAAGGAACTTCACATTGACCTGATGGAAGGATTTCTGAGCACTGATTCTGTTTTTATAAGAAAAATAATTCAACATGTTTTGGAGCTTCTTGAATGTGAATATTTTCTGGTTTTAATACTACTCGGTAAAATGAATATCATTGACTTGTGGACAGATCATTTGAGGATGTCATCTTGGGCTTAAGGCAAGACTGATCAACATTTTCTGACATTTTATAGACCAAATAACTAGAGATAGATTTGAGCTGCATCCCTAGTTTGCTAATAACATCCAACATAGTGTGTCTTCATAAGTCCTGTGTCACAGCAGTAGATGCCTATAGATGTAGAGCAGAAGTCATATTTTATTTAATAAATAATCCTACAGGAGCTCCGATGGTCCTGTCCGGCCTCGGGCCGGCAGAGACGTCTCAGTGTGTCCATCCCAAAGACAACAGCTCTGAGACAAAGCCCTGCATCAAGGTGCTTGCGGCCTGAGCAAGCAGCAAACATTCACAGAAGTCACACACATTTTCTGTCTGTGTTAAGTCTGACGGGGACTCTCTGTGTCGTATGAAGTGAATTTGACAGTGGCGGGCAGCTGAGTCATGATGTTTGCGTTGCACATCAGCTGCGTGATCACATGGCTGTCCCTCACGATTACAGGATAAAACAGACTCCTTTGTAATGTTGGGGATGAAGTACTGCGAGTGCTGCTGCCTTGTCTGGATAACTTGATTAACTTCCTAAACAGAGACCTCCTGAGGAGGATGTAGATCCAGGGGTCGAGGATGGGGTTTACAGCTGCTATCCTGATGGCTGCCAGGTCAGCGTTAGGGTCATTGTTCAGAATGAAGCAGTTGGCAAACACACGGACCTGAAAGAGAAAAACAGGTTATGGCTCATATCTTCAAATGTTTTATTCAAACATGCTGTAATGGCAGCAAATATAGGAATGTTTCCTTTCAGTACTTTTCACGTTTCCCAATACAAATCAAAGTTATCATTTCATAGTTTCTCTTGAAAAGTGATTACTCTAAAATATTAATAACGCATGATACAACATCACATGGTTTCCAACCTGTTTTAGTGCTCTTAAAACTGTGATCCCTTGTTTAAGGTTCATAATGTCTATTAATTGTATGCAGTTACAAATGTTTTGATTTTCCCTAAACTGTTTCATTAAAATAGTATTTAGAAAGTTGTAAAACATGTAATCTTACATAATATGATGAAGCAGATTAAACTATTCGGGATACAAACATAAAATTAACTCCACCTCCTCAGGTAAAATTCCTGTATATACTTTATTAGTTATAGTCAAAATAACTGTATACTATAGCTGTTAATGTATCCATCAATTTAATGTTGCTGTAAAGATGAAGCTCATGTTAACACTTATGCTGCACTATAGTTTATTAATTTACCCCCCGGGGATCAAAAAAGTTTCATCTTAATTATTAATATTATACCAGAATATATTAGTCATTTATTAGATTTTGTATCATTATTCAAAATCTACAAAGTAATGTATGATCAAATTTAGCAAAAATATGTAATGTGCTTGAACAATATGCCTCTGAATTGTTGTAGAATAGCCATATAAAGTATAGCAAAACATAACAATATATGTATTATATAAAGTATAACAACGTTGACCAACATTTCAGATTGCTTGAGTAAAATACTTAGTTACTTAAAATCCTTCTAATTAAGGTTTGCTGCTCCGTAAAGGTGAGTGCATGCAACAGAAACCACAAACTGCCTTTATAAGTCAGGGGGACTCACCACCAGCGGGGCTGAACAGGCCAGCACCACGGCGGAGGTCATCACCAGCACTGCCATCATCTGGGTCTCTGCAGCCGAGGACAGAGCCCTCCACCTGTCCCGGACGCTGCCCCTGGTGACGGGCCGCTGCACGGTCCTCTGGCGCATCAGCAGCAGCGCTCCGCACACCGCCAGGTTCAGCAGAATGGTGCCCAGGATGAGCAGCAGGCTGACGGAGCCGTACAGCACAGTATAGGCAGCGGCCACAGGCTCCTCTGTCTCCCAGTCGATGAAGCACCAGGTGCCGGACGGCTGCAGCTCGCTTTTCGACATGCCCATCATCGGGAGGCAGCAGAAGAAGATGTTACAGATATAAATGACGAACAGGAACTTTTGCGCAAAGCGCCGGTCCACCCCCCACCGCTGGTAGGTGTACGGGCAGCATATGGCCATGTACCGCTCCGCTGCCATGGTGCATATAATGCTCAGCCCTGTCAAACCGAAAAACAGCAACAAAAAGGAGTGAAACTCGCACACATGCTGCACCGTGAGCACAGTCTTGTCCATGTAGTTGGCTATGGTGAGCGGACTGGCCAGGCACGTGCCCAGCAGGTCGGTCACCGCCAGGCCGCACACCAGCGTGTAGAAAGCTGAAGATTTCCTCTCCTGTCGAGATACTGACAGGACGATTATTGCAATAATATTCCCAATGGCGCCTCCAGCAAACATGAAAATCGGTAAAGCGATTGCTGTAACAAACGTGGACGCTTGGGAATGCTGCACCACCGTCTCGTTCATGGAAACAGATCCGTGCGTAATGTTCAGGCTCTCCATCGCCAAAAACAATCTCGTGTTACTTAGCGATATTTGCCTCGGTCTGTAGAGGATTTGGGAATGCATTTCCTTTTGAACCCCCTGTAACAGAAGATAAGAGGTGAGTAGGGGTACTTTTTCTGGTAGTCTCATCCCCTCAGCTTTCCAGTAATCCAGATGCAATTAGCCAGGGGTCGTTGCGCACAGCTGGGAGCTGAGAGGTGGGCTGTCTCTATTATACTGCAACACTCAGCAGACTCCGCTCTGTCTCATCTGCAGAGGTTGGCGTCATCACAGCCCTGCGTAAAGAGTTGTGGCTGCCATATCAGGAGGTCAACTTCACTAGACCGATGATGAAGAGACAGAAGAGGCTTCAGGAGACCTTTCTCACCCATTTAGACATGAGTCATATTTGGATGTAGAAACTATAATGCAATATTTGTAATCAACTTGTATAAGAAAGCTTTGATGGTAACTCATGAGATAAGACTTTTTCAAAGCAGTTTAGTTAAATGTGGGTTTTCACTGTTATGTTGATCATTTATAACTCAAAGGGCCAGTACAGTCAAATTACAGTAAAACATATATATATGTATATCCACAGAGGAAGTTTGGGTTTTATATATTCCTTGAAGCGATAACTTGGAGGTGTGAGGCAGATACCCCTGTTACCAAAAAAATGGATGCTCATATTTCCTGTGAAGTATTTACTAAACAGTGTTTGTGAGATGTGGGACATTGGAAAAATATTAACAAGTTTGGCACTCACTACCACTAAATCTCAAAGAATATTTAAAACAGGTGGAAAAGCTTTATGATCTGCCCAAATGTTTGGTATCAGGGATGACGCTACAAAAATACCTAATTAAACACATGAATATATATGGTTGGAAGAAGGTGTTCCAGCTTTGTCCCAAACAGAGATGACTGTAAATGGTTGTGAGGAAAACACAAGGCTGATGGACACCTCGAGCACACACGGGACGTCAGTGCACTTAGCCTGCTCTGACTCTGCCGCCATGGCACATTCATTACAACGTGACTTGTGTTTACAGTGAGGAGCAGCAGCGAGGGTCTCTGTCTTCAGCTGGCCTTAAAAGACAAAGCACACACCTCTCTGAGAAGTAAACCACCACTGCTCCTCTCTGCTGCAGACAAAGGGGAGCTGGCAGATTCTAAAAACAACAAAGCACTTAAATGATGCCAAAGCTGGAAACTCCAACAGCGGCTGGAATGTCCTTCAGTGAATCACGGGACGCACCAGCACAGTTTATAGTTATCCTTGATGTCGTAAAAGGTAATTCATTTATTGCTAATGCCATTTAAATGTATTATCTCTGTCTGTGGTCTCTGCAGTGGGCATAGAGCTATACAAAGTGTACAGAGTTGTTAGTGTGACTAAGCTACACAACAGAACATGTTGCACTACATCCTTAAAAGGTAACTATACCGGATTCATATGTGTCTGTAAAGTTACCTCTAAACTCATCTTTAAACATGATTCAGCCCTTGAAATTACATAAGAAAGTCTTTCCCCCACTATTCAATAGTAGTATTCACATACTCAAGACAGAAAATGCATAAACATTGATAACATTTGTATTTGATCACACTTTGGCTGGGTTAAAAAAGGCATAGTTGTATACTAATCACACCAAGTATGACGTTACATTTAGTGTTTAGTGTACTTTAACTGCTAAGTATGTAGGATGCATGAAAGAAATTCCCGGATGTACAGTCGCAAACATATTTGAGTATGAAGCATGAGGTCACACAAGCCTAACACAATCAATGCAGCTGTCCTGTTCAATGGCGGATTCTGAAAAACCCAGTTAAAAATAATTCAGAGTTATAGTGAATTGTAAAACCCATTTTAAATGATTGTTTTATTTTGGCTTTACATAATTATAGAAAACATTCAATTAAGTAGAAGAGACTAGGTTGATTTACACTTCAAAATTGACGTGATAAACAACCCTTATTCAATAATAAATTGGACCAGTAACCCTGTGATTGAGGTGATGTGTTGCATTGTCTGAGTTAACTGTGTGAACCGTCTGCTGGTAGTGGTATACTTCATTGTTAATATTGTATGCAGTGTAGTATGCTGTCTGTAGTTGTTAGTATTTCATTTTGAATAGTAGGTCTTTATAGAAATCTAAATGTTCACTTGCAGGCTGTTGCAGCAAGTCAGTATTGAGGTAATGGTGCAATATGATACGTCTGTTACTCCACAAGCTACTGTCAAAGGCATTATGTGTAAAAGGATTTCAGGAATTAGAGAAAGGAAGAAAACTGGACTCTGCTCATTCCTGGAAGTGAGTCAAGACGATCTCTTGGTTTTATATGTGTTTGTTTAGGGAATCCAAGGTTAAATTGGTGGGTCAGTCTGGAGTTACATAAGAAGAAAGAACTTGACCATAGTTGGATCAGCAGCATAACTAGGGCCAAGAAAGGGTGGGTGGAGGGGGTCTGGAGGACGGGTCTCGGGCGGACGGCCCGGGGGCAAGGCAGAGACCAAGGAGGGGGTCTCGGGCGGAAGGCCCGGGGGCAAGGCAGAGTCCAAGGTGGGGAACTCGGGCGGACGGCCCGGGGGCAAGGCAGAGACCATGGAGGGGCGAAGGCCACAGCGGGCGAACTCAGGGGGCCGAGCATGAGGGTGAAGGCAGCGGCAGGAAGAGTCAGGGGGCCGGGCCCGAGGGCGAAGACCACGGCACTCAGGGGGCCGGGCTCGAGGGCGAAGACCGCGGCTCTCAGGGGGCCGGGCTCGAGGGCGAAGACCAGACAGCTCCGGAGGCCGGGCAGAACCCGGTGTCAGCCGAACAGGAACCGGAGCCAGTGGGACAGGCTTCGGCAGGATCCCCCACAGAAGAGGACCAGGAGTTGGCAGGACCCCCGGCGAGACAGGTGATGGCAGGGACCTCCAACGGAACAGGACAAGGGGTTGGCAGAGAACCCCGGCAGAAGAGTTGTCGGCGGGACCCCCAGAGGAACAGGACGTAGGATTGGCAGGACCCCGGCAGGAGAGTAGTCAGCGGGACCTCCAACGGCACAGGACATAGGGTTGGCAGGACCCCCGGCAGGAGAGTAGTCGGCAGGACCTCCGACGGCACAGGACATAGGGTTGGCAGGACCCCCGGCAGAAGAGTAGTCGGCGGGACCCCCCAACGGGACAGGACATAGGGTTGGCAGGACCCCCGGCAGGAGAGTAGTCGGCGGGGCCTCCGACGGCACAGGACATAGGGTTGGCAGGACCCCCGGCAGAAGAGTAGTCGGCGGGGCTTGAGAGGGGACTAGAGAGGGAACTCGAGAGGGGACTTGAGAGGAGACTGGAGAGGGAACTGGAGAGGTGACTTGAGACGGTCGGTACGCCGACAGGACACGAGGTGCTGGAGTCAGCCGGTATGCCGACAGGACACGGGGAGCTGGCGTTGGCTGGTAAGCCGACAGGACACGGGGACTCCAGCATGGTTCTGGCACTGGAGCCGGAACCATGGCTGCTAGGACCGGTACATGAGTACGAGCTGGCTTCCTGACCTTGCGTCTTTTAGAGGTCTTTTGGAGGCTCCGTGGACCTCCAAACGCCAGGCGGGATCCCAAGAAAGGGTCAGAGAATGGAGACTGGCACTCAGGGCTACGAGAAAAAAACTCTGAGAAACTCAGGCAATGAGCTTCTCAACCATGGCACGTTGTCCACCTCCATTTGTGCCCTTTTGAGGACAGCCTCTTTATCCCCTTTTAGCCGAGGTTCTACTCCATTCAGCATAATGACACTGAAGAGTGTACTCTAGGGAGAACAAGAACAAGTCCAAATCAAAAATCCAAAAATATCCAAAAACAAACGAGCAGCACAAGGAACACAGACCGTGGAAACATGGAGGGGAAACAATGGACCGACATGGAACACAGGGGAAGATTAGACTAAATACACAGAAGGGTAATCACAGGACAAGACACAGCTGGGCAGGGGAGGGAGAAACACAAGGGCAACAGGTGAACACAATGAGACAATCAGACACACCAGGGAAACTAACGACAGGGAGGAGGACCAGACAAAACACAAGGAGGAAGACAAAACACCAAATGAACAGACTTACAAAACCCATAACAAGACAGACAACACTAAAACCGTGACATAAACCTAGGAGTGTGACAACAGGAGGGGGTCAGGATGGATGGTGGGCGTTGAAAGGATTTGCATCAAAAGTCATGTCTGTTGTTAAGGCAACAAAAGCACCGGATGCCCTTGTATGTACTGCAGTTTCCCTCGCAGAGTATATACTTTTTCATGACGTATGCATACACTTGGGTCATACTCTTCATCATAACATTGCTCCTTGAACTTTGACTCAGAGTAGACAGGACAGCATGCTGGCTTGCATCCTGCAAAATGTGACCGGATGCACTCATACTTCATTTGACATACTATGTATTTAGAGATGCAAAATCTTTCCCATGCGTTAGAAAGGGTATGGTAGTATGTTAGGAACGAACTGACTGTCTCTTGTTCTAATAAGGAATCCTGTATGTCACATCCCTGCATTTACAGGAAGAGAAGTGACGTATATGGAAGCAAACAAGAGACAGAAGTATTTGAATTTTATTAGACACCGAATTTATAGCATTGAAAATAATTACTTTGAAAATCATGTATCTGAATGTTTTTGCTCCGAATTTACCTATGTGAAATAAAAATGTAAAAATTCAAGTGAAAAAAATTCGAATGTTCAAATTCAGATCCCAAAAATTCGACGTCAAAAAATTCGATGTCAAAAAATTCGGTGTATAAAATTGGATGTCCAAAATTGCGATGCAGCATCATCCGGGCTACTCAGACAGGATAAGCAATCGAGCCCTAATGCAATCAAACTGACTTGGCCTATCAGAGCACGGCTTTGTCAGTCATGTGATCACAACAACCCGGGAGAAAAATGACGGAGAGCAGCGGGGCTCGCCGCTCGGGTAAGTAGTCAGTTTGTGCTCTTTATTTTACAAGCAGTGAGGGCTCGACAGCATTTGTA